ATGATAGGTTATATAAAACTAATAGAAAATAACTGCCGTGGGTTGGGACTACACTGAGCAAGATTTTGGGTACATACAGGGATACTGTAGTCAGAAGACTAGTAGTCCAAGAACAAGAGCAGGTGAACCTCCTGCAACTCATTCAGTAAGCACAGTGAGAAATATAGTAATAGTTTGAGAGACAGATGAGATTACTTTTTCAAAAAAAAAAAAAGAAAAAAGACAAGCTGGTTGTTAGAGAAGTTGGGTTAACTGAGAAATGATGGAGAGAGTGACAGAGAAGTGAAAAAAGAGGTAAGGAAAACGAGAAGAGGACAACTTCAGCTCCAAGTGAGAAGACCAGAAAAGGTAAGCAGGTGGGGAATTTCTTAAATTGTGATGGGGAAAAAGGAAACGGTTGTTGTGAAACTAAGAGAAAGCAAGCCAAAGAAGGCTAAAAAAATCACACCTTTTCCCAGTTTTGTACTGGAAGGATTGTTTGTATTCTGAGTAGGAAGAGAAGAGCGGGAAGGTATTAACATGAGAACCCGAAGTTGTATAGGAGTTGCTGGGATTGAAGATGCATAGTTAGTTGTGATGAGGAAGGTGGGACTAAAATCTGGCAGTTGGAAGAATGACAGAAACAGGGGTAGTGTGATTTCTTGTCTATCTGGGGAAGGTCCCAACCTGACTTTGAAAGCATGGTCTCTGATATCCTAGAGTGAAGCAAAAAAATCAGTGAGAAAGTGATTGAAGAAAGGAATGAAAGCAAGAGAAAAAGCCTTGAGGGGAGAGGACTGAGAGCTGTGGAGAGTATCAGCTCTGATGATCTCTAAGTGAGAGATAGGCCAGATGATGTATCCCAGAAAAACAATGTAAGAGTTTGTTCTAGATGAGGCCAGTATTGGGAATGCAACCTTTACAAGTATTTTGCAAATGTTGCCAGACTTAGTCTAATCACCATAACTGGGGCCGGGAGCTGCCCTGAGCTCAGAACAGCAGAGTGAAAGCTTGGGAAGCTGGCTTTTCTCTTGCCTCTAATTGCTGCCAACATGAAATTAAGCTCTTATAGTCAGTGGAACTGTATGGTTGTTAGGCTGGTTTGCTAGTGTCGAATTTGATACTAGAAGGTATGTATGTTTCAAAATATTATTATGGGACCAGAGGAAGAAATCTGTGCTTCTCTTGTGAGTGATGTCTTGATGCTTAGTTGTTAACAGTGTTCTGCTGTCACCTGTTTCTTATGGTGTCCCTCACTGAACCTGCATATTCATGAATTCCAGTGCATCTTTTTAAGAAAACCAAACAAAAAAAAAAATATTTAAACTTCCACTTGGGATGCACCAAGGCCAGACTAATGGCAACCAAAATAGACAGGCAGAGCCAAAAATGTGCTTCTTGTGCCACAGCCACTATAGAATCAAAGAGGTAGGAAGAGAAAGTTTATTCTGCAAAGCTCTGTACAGTGGCATTTAGCCTGGCCTCTAGCCAGGACACTTCTGTTGACAGAGGTTTACCTTATCTGTCCAGTGCTATTCACATGTGGTCACAAGATTGGATGTGAACACATCAAAGAATACAGTAACAAATGCAAGCAGTAGTCAGACTTTCTCTGAATATTTCAATGAATACAGTGAATTTCAGTGTGTACAATATATATACAGTTAAAATAATGAATGCAAAAGAAATGAGGCCTCTCCCACCCACCATGTGCAAATCATTGTGCATGCAGAAACAGATGATTAAAACTGTGGATCAGTTGTGTAAAATTAGAAGAACGGCTAGTGCTGTTGTTGTGTTGGGTGCTATAGGATTCAGCCATCAGTGAGAGCAAACCTTTTTGCCCCAGCCTGTACTATTGCTTTTTCAGCACCACAAACACCATTGATGGAAATAGGAGCTACCAGTCAGTGCAGAATCAGCATTGTGATAGACTCCACAGATAGTAGCATGCATGGAAGAGGAGATTTTTGCCCTTGGCCTGGAAATTACAGGTTTATGCATAGGATTATAGCTTATTTTTTTGCTCATCATTACAGGTCCTTTCTGATGTTAGGTGGCTATAGTAGTTAAAGATGGTAAACTTTTTTTATAGAGTTGTGTTCCACTGTCTTTTTCTTGATGTTGTATAAAGTTTATATAAGAGCCATGGGGCTGAACACAACCATGCAATCATAGTGAATGTTTGTAATTAGGAATGAGGTATTTAATAATGATCTTCTGATTTGGAATATTCTTTTTCTGTTTTGTTGCCTAGAAATACTTCACATAGTCTTGAATGAATGTGTAGTTTATTTTCATGTATGGATTGTAAATGTGCTGTTTTTGAGGAAGCCTGAAGAAAAACCCACTTGGATATGTAAAAAACTGGAATTAAGAGCATGCTGTGGGACCTCATTAATGATTCAGGATGGTTGGTTTGAGTTTCCCATCCTTCCTTTCACAAGGCAAAATCAGATCAATACTTTTTTTTCAAGGTCACAACTGCTGTTTGGTCTCTGTCCTTCTCACAACCCTTGCCCATCATAGGAGTGTTTTTGAGGATTTAATTACTATTTTAATCGAGGTTATCATCAATAACTCTTAGCATAAATGTACTTGGACAGAAAGTCATATCATTATAGTAGAGGGCTCTGCCTTGATTCAAGTACAGGGTGCTGTGCTCATAAATGGCTTCGTGTCAGGCATGAAAGGGGCTTTCCCTCTGTCATCATATCTCCAATAATCCTGTGGTTGTATTAGGGACAGGAAAGCTGTGAAGCAGTGTTATATCATATGTCAGTTATTTGATTTTGCAAGATCTGTAAAATAGAGTTGAGTTGTGGAAAATTAAGTTTCTGTCTTTGCAAGGGAAAGGTTTTTTCCACTGCATGAGCGATGATACTTCTTAATGTGTTCTGGCAATTTGTTTTCCAGAGCTGGAAATGAAATATATATTTTTAAAAATACTGTTTATTTTGTCTACTTTTTTGGTACATTTATGACACATTTTTTCCATTTATTTAGAATTAAGTTCAGTGTAGATTAAGTAAACTTGTTAGGTACTCATTAACTCACCTCACTTTCTGAAGTTGTATTGTAAACCCTAAGGGGAGTACTAAATCCGGTATTTAAATTGCAGAATGGGAAACAACATTTCTTTAATGGGAGTGGAAAAATTTATCTTTCCTGGTTTGAAAATATCATAAATGGTCAAAAATACTGAAAAATATTTTAATATCTTTTGTTTAGAATAATGTTAGACTGTTCTCTCATCAAAGCATTTGCTTTCTGAATAAGCTGCCAAAATACAGGTTTGATGCTTCGTCAAGAAGCCAGCAAGGCTGCCTATGCCTCTTTCAATACTTCAGCTTTCATGAAGACATTATACTACTTTACAATTTCTGCTTTTAGAAAGTTAAATTCTGTGGCTTAAAAGTGATATTTAAGATCTGTTAACTTGAATAGAATAAACTGGATGTATTTGTAGGAGCTAAAAAGGTTTATCCAGTATGATTTTTATGTTCACTGAAAAATAAATAAAATTCAGGCAATCATCTCTTCCTTCTCCTACTTTTTAGGAAAATCTGGACAGGATAAAGGTCTAAAGTCATGACAGACTTCAGGGTTATCATAATAATTTCAGGAGCAAGCTTCTGGAGGTCAGCTTTATTGTAGAATATTATGAACATAGTTAATCATGCTTGTTGAACATGACGGGTCTAAATTTGCTCTTGGTCATAATCCCTAATCAGTCAGAGAAGGTCCACGGTTCACGTAGCCCATTCTCCTGACAAATATTTAATATTGCCCAAATCAGTTTTTTATATATTCTATTGATTTTATGCTGTTCATAAAATGCTAGTAATAGAAAATCTATTTCTGTTGCTGTTTTTTAACAACAATAATATAATTTCTGAGGAAAAAGCTCTTCAGTGACTCATGTGAAATATGTTGGAGGGAGTTTGTGTGTACATATATATATAAAATGTGCAGTTACACAAATTTTCAAGCAGTATAATTTAAGTAGATGATTTAAATTGAGCCTTGACATTTTGGCTGGTGTTCACTTTTATATATATATATTTTTTTTTTTTAGATGTTTTTCCCTGTAATTGAATTCATAACATATAACCAGGTCTGCTGGCCATAGATCTGCTGCCTTTGCATGTGAAGTTCATTTTTTTCGTGTTGCAAAGAATACTTAGCACTGAATTTCTAAATTTTCTTTTAATGTTTATTGTGATACCTCATGCTGAGATACCTTGGAGTAGAACAGGAGGAGGTGTAGAAACCTGTTGTTTAGCTGCATTCCCTTACAGGAAACAGTAAGGGAACACCAGGGTCTCTGACACAACAGAGAAGCTTACAGAAGCGCAGGTTGGTTAAAGGTTAATGGGGGTGAGGAATCGGGCCAGGTGCTGAACAAGCTGTTTTGATGCTATGTCTTCTGAGAATTCATTAACCCAGTGAATTCCTGACTTGGCTGTTAATGAGTCAGGTTTTTGCCTCTATATGATCCCCAACAAAAGCGAAAGTCCCAGACATAACCCATAAGTGCCAAACAAAAAACTCCTGCATGCAGGATGACTAAGAGTATGACTCTTGACTTCTGTGCAGAAGACTTCTGCACATACATTAAGTTTGTCTTTGCAGGCCAAGAATATGTACCAAGAAGAATTTGGCCAGTGACTGAAGAATATCTCTTCGCTGCTTATAATAAAGCATATTACAATTTTTCATAAAGATTTTTAAGTGACACGTATTTTTATAGCTCTAAAATACGTGTACAAGTTGTGTCTGATAGACTCCAGTCCAAAAAATATCAATAGTCATAGCCTTCCTCATGTTATAGATACCTAAGGGTGAAAAATGTGAACTGAGAACAATCTAAAAGTATCACAATGAATGTTTTCCCTTCTGCAGAGTAGGATGAAATAAGGCAATTGATGAAGAAATATAAATATTAAAAAAAGAGTAGAATTGGCAATTGCAAACCAAACCCTTGACAACTGCATTAATGGTAGTGCATTCCATTCCAGTTCATGGTGAAGTAAAAGGAGTTGGTCTGGTAGATCAAATATGGCTTTCATTGCAAGACTGCGACAATGAAGGTGAGATAATAAAGCTATTCAGACTAACCTGTAAAGAGTGTTGTTATTAAATATACCTGATGAATTTATAGAATTATTTATTCTTAGAACAGATGTAATTATAAAATAACTATATTTGTTTTCCAGTTATTTTTCCAGAATGTATGTATCCTGTTATGTCTATGTCTGTATACATGAATACATACATTTATTTAAAAAAAGTATATATGCAGTCGAAATTGTGAATAATTAATGATTCTTGTTAGGTTCCTTTATGAATCTGGGAAACTCCTTTTGTCTAAATGTCAGGGCTTTGAGCAGGGCTTAAAAGGGATTTTAGGAAATATTTGAAAAATTGGGATGGCCCAAATAGTCGCGTGAGAATGTAACTTGCTGTCCCATTTTGCTCATTGCAAATATATTGTGAATCAATTGATATGAATCCATTTGGTGTAGCAAACCCAGCTGTGTGTTCAGGGAGAAGTCCCAAATCTTGTGTTTAGACTACTGATCTTAGATGTGTGTTCATTTTGGGTGGGTTTTTTTTAGTTTGTTAACATGTTTTTAGTCAACATCTTATTTTCCAGTCCAGGCAAGAGTAAAATCACAAAAGCTCTCAAGTGCCTTTAATACTGTTTTTCAGACAGAATGTCAAAAACCGCTTTGTGTTCCATCAATACTAATTCATGGCAACAAGCCTAAATAATTATAATTGGCCAAAAGCCAGGGTTTTAGGCCCTACACTAATAAATATTGGTACAATTATTTTGAAAATTATTAAACCAGTTGCAATAATAACATGCATTTCACCTAACTGACTCACCTCTTCCAATTAACTTCAGGTAATCAGAAATAACTCGGTTCTGTATTATCTCTTAAGTGGTCCCCCTGGAGAGTAGGCAGTGTGTGATTTGCATGTACTGTATAATTTCACTCAGTTCTGGGGCAAAGCACAGCAGTGTTTGAGGCTACTAGTATGCCATTAAAGCAGCTGGGGCTAGGGCACATTCTCTGGCCCTTAGGGAAAGGCACAGATCGTGACCATAGGTTTAAATCTCTCTTCTCCCTCATTCTTCAAATAATATGGCCTCATACATACTTGAAAATAATTTCTGATACACATTCTCCTTTGAGACATACTGGAACATTGTTTAGGAAACTGCTATTTATCTTAGGCCAAAATGGCAACTTACTTTAATGTAGAATAAATAATTGTGGATGAAAAAAGATACACCGTTGCTTATACCTGGGCTCTGATGTCTTTTTATTTACTGACACAAATGTGTTCTTGAGCCTCTGTCTTTGAAGTCTTTATGTTAGCACACAGGTCTGGGAGCAAGTAGGCTTGCACATCCCATTCACACCAAGGAGGTTTTGGCTTGTTATCTACTGTTCTGATCTTTTTGTGTGTCTGTTCCACGTCTGAATTCACATGATTACTCTAGTGTGGTAGAGTCAATCAAGCTCTAGTTTGCAGCAGCCTTGCTCCATATAAGTCTTGAGTTTGGTTTCTGGGAGGAGGTTGGGGAGGTGGGGATGAAATGGGAACGCGATCTCATGAAAGGAAGGTGGGAGTAAGCACTATTGCTGGTTCTTTCTGCAGAGGCAGTAGCTGAAGTGGAGAGCATCATGTTGGCCAGTGCTGGCAAAATCATGGCCAAAGCATTGCCAAGTTCCATGGACTCCTGACCTGTAACTGTTGCAGGCTGGGACCTGTTTGGGTTTTGGAGCCCAAAATTCGGCATTCTGTATGCCTGACCAAAGAAGAGTCAGGTGTACGGGATTGTCTATTTATTGATTGGAAAGGCAAGAGTATTTAACTATAAAGACTGAGGACTCTGCTTTTCTTAAAAATTTCTTCAGGGTGAATTGTCACCAATGAAAGCATAAATCTTTCTTCTTTTGGAAGAAATATCACTTATTTCAAATTAATTTCAAGCTTTTATTAGCCTTAATACAGGTACAAGGAGGGAAATTCAGAAGGCTCACCCTGGCAATGCTACAGAGATAACTGAGCAATAGCACTCTTCCTTTCCTGGTTCTGTCCCTACAAAGTTATATGACAGTAATATGTTTGATAGTGGTTTTCTTTGATTGGGTAACAGGACAGGAGTTTGTTTCACTTACACGGAGAGGGAAAGGATATTTGCAACCAGCAGTAGGACAAGAGAGCATAGTCTTAAGCTGTGGCAGGGGAGGTTTAGGTTGGATATCAGGAAGAAATTTTGTATGGAGAGGGTAATCAGGCATTGGAATGGGCTGCCCAGGGAAGTGGTGGGTTCTCCGTCCCTGGATTTTTAAGATGAGACTGGATGTGGCTCTTAGTGCCATGGTCTAGTAACTGCGGTGGTGTTGGATCAAGGGTTGGACTTGATGATCTCGGAGGTCTTTTCCAACCCAGCTAATTCTATGATTCTATGAAATAGATGCAGGACCCAACTGTATATTCTTCAAGCTACCTACAAGATATGTGCAAAACTTTGAGATGACTTTTCGGTAATGTAAATTCAGACCATGACATTCATGAGGAAACATCCTGTGCCTCATCCTTCACCTACCTCAAACCTATGTGTTGCTGTGGAGGGAGGACTAGTGTAGTTAAAAGTTCAGTGGAAGGTTGTCTCTTCCCTGTTCCGTGGCATTGCATTTATGGTAAGAGATGACTAGAAGCATTTTTATGGTATTTTCGGTTTTTCGCTGGGAAACACCACTGGTGACTAGCTGTCAGCTGGATATAACTCCATTTACCACCACCCTCTGGGCCCAGCCGTCCCTTCAGTTTTTAACCCCATGAACAGCACTCATCCAAACCATAAGCAGCCAGTTTATCGAGGAGAATGCTGTGGGAGATGGTGTTAAAGGCTTTACTAAAGCCCAGGCAGACAATATTCACAGCCCTTCCCTCATCCACGAAGTGCATCACCTCGTCATAGCAGCAGACCAGGTTTGTCAAACAGAATATACCTGTGCTGGCTCGACTTGACTCCCCATGGGAAATACTTGAGCCAAGATATCCAAATGTGGCAGTGATCTCTGCTCCTGGACCTTAAAATCTGTAGAGGAGAGAGGAAGAAGAGATGTATAGAAATGTCGTAGTCTTCATGGAGCATGACATTAATGGGACTAGCTGGAATTTGGCTCTTGGTTGCTTGCTATCATTCCAGTATCTTCTTCATTGACCATGTATAGATCACTTTTTTTAAGGAAGATTTTTAATTGCCACATGGAAATGCTTGATTAGTAGTGACTTTAAAGGAAGGCAGTTGAGATTAATAAAGTAAAAAAAATGCCACAGTTGTTTTACTAGAGGCACTGAGTGATTATGAGATACATCCTGCAAGAAGTATTCAGATTTCACAAACTCAAGATAAAATGCCATAGGAAGGAGACTGGAGAATTGCTCAATAACAACAATGAGGACTGTAGCTGATCAAAGGTGTTAATGTTATTGTAAGGCAGCAGTAAGCAAAATAATCCCATTATAATTGAATATGTGTGAATATATGTTATGAGTTCTGTAAGTCGTACTGTAATGAGCAACATTATTTCTCTAATTTGTATATAAAAACTGGCTTACCAGGTCCTGTCGAGAGGTCATGTCTTGAAAATATAGAATATTTATTGATCCTTGGAATTATGCAAGCTAACATGATGTTAGAGTTGTCTTCAATATTTGGGTAGAGACAGAACAGTTTCAGAGTTGATAGTGGTTCTCTTTTTCAAAGGGACAAGACGTAATTATGCTGTCCTTTCATGTGCTCTGATTTTCTTTATTGTGGCTGTAAACTGACACTTGTCAACACTGTATCTGTTTAGTATTTTACATGCATACCAATGAGTGTATTAAACACAAATCCTAGGAATGTCATAAGCTAAAGAGCCTTCTTTCCTAACAGCTTTGACTTTTCAAGTACTTGCAGAAAGCTTTGAGAAAGCATCCGTTGATCTATTGATTGATCTCTTGGGCATACAGTGTTTCATGCAAATAAAGTGTAAAGTAACCCACAGCCATCCATGTTTTAAAATGTGTATGCAGATAGTAATTGCTATGCTCTTTCCTATTAACTGGGTTTCTATTAGTGCACATTTGCTGTGGTTCTGTGGGGAGATGCTGTTAATATAGGGTTCTGTTAAAGTTTCTGAACAGTTCCTTATTCACACTGTCGCTTTTTTACTTTAACCTGTCCCTGAATTAGAAGCTGTCCAAAATATATATACTGACTGTCTCTGTGCACTGGTAGTTTGAGCTTCAGCTCTTAATGTCCTTGGCTCTCAATAATCAATAGGAAGCAAAACAACTACACCAACAACCTCATCACTGTAAAAGGAAACTTCTTTTGGATAGTGTGTTTGAGGATAGGAGGATAATGGCTCTCATTGAGAAAGATGGAATATCTTGTCCTTAAGAGTGCAAACAAAAATGTTTTGTTTTCTGCTGCCTGCTTGGAAAATGAGCATGTCTTCCAGTGTGTCATACTGGGAAATAAAATCAAAACTCCAAATCAAACTAAGGAAAAACAGATCAAGATATTAAATGATCCTTGGTAGCAATATGCAGGACTGTTACCCAAAATATTTTTTGCCTCTAAAATGCTGAGTAAAAAGGTTGAGTTTTAGCATCTCTTAGTTCTAACTTACTTCAGAGTGAGAACAGCTTTATAGGGTTCTGTACTAACGTATATATAATTCTCTTCGACCCCCATTCTCATTTTATGAACTTGTAGATCAATGAAACAAACCATTAAATAGATTGAATACTGCCTGCAACACTGATGTAGATGACTCCAGTTTTATTAAGCCTATTTGAAAATCTCATACAGATGGCGGCATCCATAAAATGACAAACTATGGAGTATAAATTTAAACATTAGAGGAAAAGATAGTGATAGTGGAAAAGAAATCTTTAAAATATACTGGATATTTTTAAGAATTGGAAAGGAGAACAAAAACTTTTTAGTTTTCGGTTACTGTAAATAGTCCTCAGTTTAATATGATACTATATTGATTATATTGTGTGCTGC